CTTATCAGGCTCGAGAGAGCTCCACCTCACAAGCCGGTCACTTACCACTAGACACATGCACTGCGGCAAGAAAGCTAGTTAAAAAAACCGCTACCCCAGGTGGTGCTACTACATCCATAATAAGTTTCTAATATATGCTGTAAGAAGCGATGAAGTCCCCTCCTGGGTACCGATTGGCCAATGGAACCCCGATTACGTCTCCTGCAATCAGACCTACTAATTGTACCAGTCCTCCAACCTGTAAAGGAATAAGAATTTCTCCTATCACCTCTCCTAATCTTAAGCCGCGATTCGCAACCTCTATCTTCCGTTCGTTTCTAGACGGCACGAGTAATGGTGTTATTAATAGCGGAAAGCGCAAACCTCGGCTGTTTCTCATTCTTCTGGCAGCACTGGTCGCGCTAGTTTTATGCAAAGCATGCAGCACCACCACTTGCCGTTCGATCCTCCAAGATATCCTTTGCATCGGACCGTTCGTGTCCTCTACGGGTGCCGACGGGCGACACGCCGCGCTCTCACTTCTTAGTTCCTGGGACCGTCAACACGGATTGAAATTACGTCGCATCGCGTCTCTTAATTTGAATGATGGTAACAGCTTGCGGTCGTACGCGTATCCGTACGAGTTTCTTTCGGTGCCTGTAACGGCCGTACCGGATCATCTCCAATGGAAGGACGCCTATCCTGAATGGGTCAACCAATCGCTGCCGACGTCCTGCCCGGAAATTCCGCAGCCTGAAACGCCCTTGTGGCTGGGTGACGTAGACGCGATCGTCGCTCGCGTCCCGTGCGACAAGCCGAGCGACATGCTGGCGAAAGATATTCGCTGGATGCATCAGATGCTTTTGCTCGCCGAAATGGTTACCAAGGTACGCAGTACGCGAGTAACCCGTTATGTTGTCCATAGCGCTTCAAACCCAAAGAAATAGGAGGGGATATTGAAGGTCAACATAACGGTGGGTTGTAAACATGCTAGTCTTCTTTAATCCTTATTTTTTCGTTTCGTATCTTCTGATTGTGCTAAAGTCTTCCTGTAGACGAAAGAAAGTGTACAATTCACCCGTGCTTGCTGTCCCTCCGCTATGTCTCCCTGCTCTGTCCCTCCGCGCGGTGTCTCCCCGCTCTGTTTCTCCGGGCTGTCTCCGCCTTGTATTCCCTGAGCCAGGTCAACAAGCCATGGGTTCCGCTGCTGCTCATCTCCCCGTGTCGTCCGCCGCCGAGTCTCTTCCACTGCAGCCGATTGGTCCGCAACGAGGGGTCCGCGTGGCTCTTCAACATGTCAGCTGCTGACGTGGCACCGAATATTCAGCCGCTGGGGTCCTGCGGCATGGCTCAGCCAACCAGACAAGGTGAATATAAGTGCCACTTATATGGTTTGCCCCCCGTACAATGTATTTATAGGTTCTGCTATATTGTAGATACGGAGCTTTATAGAGTAAATTGCTTGTAGCAGAACCTATAGATACATAGTACGGGGGAAACATTTTTGGGATGAGTCGACTGCAAATGGACAGAACCACCCATGTCCTCCCTCCTCCGCGTTTTACTTAAATATGAAATTTTCCTCCCTCTTCCCCATCTTTCCCTCACCCTTTCCCAGACCCGCCTGCTGTGGGCACGGTAGCGTACGCCACCGTTCTGCACACCTCTGAGTTCTACGTGTGCGGCGCGATCGTGCTGGGGCACAGCATTCGGCGCAGCGGAAGCCGCCACGACATGGTCGCGCTGGTGTCGCGCGAAATCAGCAACCGCAGCCGCGACGCGCTCGGGGAGGCGGGGTGGATCGTGAAGGAGATCGAGCGGATCCGAAACCCGTTCGCGCAGGAGAACACCTATAACGAGTGGAACTACAGGTGGGTGGGTGGGTGGGTGGGTGTGTGTGGGTGTGTGTGTGTGTGTGTGTGTGTGTGTGTGTGTGTGTGTGTGGTGTGTGTGTGTGTGTGTGTGTGTGTGAGGGTGTGTGTGTTATGTTGTGTGCTGTGTGCTGTGTGTGTGGGTGTTACCTTATGCGCTCCGCAAGGCCGGGTGGATCGTGAAAGAGATTGAGCAAATCCGAAACCCATTCGCAGAGGAGAACACTTATAACGAGTGGAACTACAGGTGTGCTGTGTGTGTGCGGGTGTTATCTTGTACGCTCGGCGAGGCGGGGTGGATCGTGAAGGAGATCGAGCGTATCAGAAACCCGTTCGCGCAGGAGAACACGTATAACGAGGTGCGTGTGCACTGTGCAGTTCAGTGCGTGACCTTGTAACGAGGTGAAATTTGGCTGCGCTTGGAAGAGCATTCATAACGACACCTATAACGAGTGGAACCACAGATGTCCTGTCCCCACCTCCTCACTCCCCGACCCTCCCCACCGTCCTGCTGACAGCAAGCTGCGGCTGTGGCCGCCGATGTAGTACCAACACCTCTTCTTTCTCTCTTTCTTATCCTTTCTCTCCACCTTTCCCATGACTCCAGCAAGCTACGCCTGTGGCAGCTGACGGAGTACGCAAGGGTGGTATTCGTGGACGCGGATCTGCTGGTGCTGCTCCTCCCTTACCTCCCCCTTTTCCCATCACCCCTGCTTGCAGCAAGCTGCGCTTGTGGCAGTTAACAGAATACTCGTCAGTCATATTCGTGGACGCGGATCTGCTGTTGCTGCGCAATCTCGATCATCTCTTCGCCTTCCCCGACGTGGCGGCGCGAGGCAACGACCAGACGGACTTCAACTCGGGCCTCATGCTGCTGCGCCCCTCCCTCTGCACCTTCCGCGAGCTGCTCGCCAACGTGCACACTATTCGATCCCCTAATGGTGGTGACCAGGTGCGGATTTGGAATCTGGATGGTTGTGCTGTGGTTGGGAATGGTTGGAAACGGTTGATGGTGGTTGTGAATGTTTGTTGATGGTTTGGGATGGTGGCGCGAGGCAATGATAAGACGGACTTCAACTCGGGCCTCATGCTGCTGCGCCCCTCCGCTTGGGTGTAGCGTACTTTTTTTAGGAAATGCTTGGAATTGCCCAGCGGCGGTGATCAGGTGGGACCATGCATGCTTGGAAATCATGATGCTTGGGGATGGTTGGGAAGCTTGGGGGTGGTTGTGAATAAAGAGGTGACTTTTGAGTCGACTCAAGGTGACTCTTGAGTTGACTCACAACTCACCTTGGAAATCAGGATGCTTGGGGATGGTTGGGAAGCTTGGGAGTGGTTGCGAATAGCTGGATGCCCTTTGCCCTGCCCAACTCCTTTTGGCACTGCCTGCCTTCTCTACCACTCACCCATCCCCACCGCTCTCAACCCCCCAGGGCTACCTGAACAACTACTTCACGTGGTGGCACCGTCTCCCCGACTCAGTCAACATCCTGAAACACGCCTGGGCAATGGACGAGCCCCGCAGATCCCTCGAGCTGGAGATGAAGAACCGGTGGTTCTCAGAGGAGCCGGCGGAGATCCACACCATCCACTACCTCTCTCTCATTCACCCATCCCCTCCCATTCCTGTTCTGTTCCCCCTGTTCTCTCCCCGCTTTCACATCTCCCCAGGGCTACTTGAACAACTACTTCACGTGGTGGCACCGTCTCCCCGACTCAGTGAACATTCTCAAGCACGTGTGGGCAACGGACGAGCCCCGCAGATCGCTCGAGCTGGAGATGAAGAACCGGTGGTTCTCAGAGGAGCCGGCAGAGATTCACACCATCCACTACCTCGGCCGCAAGCCCTGGCAGTGCTACCGCGACTTCGACTGCACGTGGCTGTACCCGTACGATCATGCTTATGCTAATGAAGCGGCGCATCAGAGGTGGTGGAAGATGCATGATGAGATGGCAGAGGGGTTGCAGGAGCATTGTTGGTTGAGGAATATTCACAAGGCGGAGCTTGAGTTTCGGATGAGGAAGTTGAAGAGTCAGGGAGCGCCCCCGGCGTTTTGGGATTTTGAGGTCAAGGACCCGAGGCGGGATGCGTGCATGCCGGGGCAGATCTCGTGTGACTGGATGGATTATCTGAACCACTGGACTGATGCGGATGCGTGAGTGATCATGGCGTATCTCATGCCATGTGAGGTGCTGCAACCCCATCCTCCCTCCTTTTGAGGCGCCTCAAAAGGTGTGCATGCCCGGGCAGGTCTTGTGGGAATGGATAGGTTGTTTGAAACACGGAAAGGATGTGGATGCGTGCGAGATGATGGCGTATCTCATGCCATGCATGGTGCAGTGCCCTCATCCTCCCCTCTGCTGTATCTCATGCCATGCATGGTGCAGTGCCCTCATCCTCCCCTCTGCTGTATCTCATGCCATGCATGGTGCAGTGCCCTCATCCTCCCCTCTGCTGTATCTCATGCCATGTATGGTGCAATGCTCCCTCCCATTCAGCCTTCTGAGTGCATTGCCCCACCTCACCCCTCCCCTTTCCCCCACTCTCCCTCCTGTGTTTATAGATCTTGAGCTTGTTTTATTACTGGCTATAAGGTGTAAAACATAGAACATATGTTTTATCTCTTACCATAAGGCTGCTAGATTTATGCTAGGTATCATTTCCCCTGTATTTAGTCTTGTAAAGAGCTGACTATAGTCAATCCTAATGCTGGACGAAGCATATAGAGCTGTGAGACCCTGTAGGAGTAGCAACCTACTTATCATCACTACAAATATAACTGGCAATTATTCCACATCCTCATTGCTATTGGTATGTTGCTACTGCAGCAATCACACCCCACTTGCTCCTTTAGTACAACCATAAGCTGTAGTGTGTTGTAGTGAGTAGGCAATTGAATCACCTCTGATCCTTGTGCTAGCAAAACTCCACGGCCCTTAATATCGGCTTGGTCGGTTCAAAACCCACAGCAGAACAACACACCCAAGTGGTATTGGCAGGCTCGGATGAACTCAACCCCCCAGCAGCACCACCTGGAGCGGACTTGAGAACCTGAGTGTGAACCTGAGTGGGGCACCGAGTGAGGCTGAAGAGAAGAACCTGTAGTAGACGGGTCACAGCACAGCCGATGCTACTGAGTCGGCTCAAAGCTACACCCCAACAGCACCCGGAGCGGACTTGACAACCAGAGTGTAGTTGCGAGTAGGGCTGAAGAACCTGTAGTAAACGGCACAGCCGATGGCAATGGCGACAATGACCACGGCTGCGAGAGCAGCAGCAGCCAGCCAGCCGGAAATGACGAGCCCTGTGTCGTGGGGAACGACCCTCCAGCCGTCTGCTGTTGTTGTCGCCGCTGCTGCTGCCTCCTGTAGCTGCTTGGAGCAGGAAGGGGGTGTGGAGGGGAGGCAGTGGGAGGGAGGTGTTGGTGTTTAGTGAATGGTAGGATTTGGTGCGATAGGGCTGAAGAACCTGTAGTAGACGGCACAGCCGATGGCAATGGCGACAATGACCACGGCTGCGAGAGCAGCAGCAGCAGCCAGCCAGAAATGACGAGCCCTGTGTCGTGGGGAACGACCCTCCCGCCGTCCGCTGTTGTTGTCACCGCGGCCAGAGCAGCAGCAGCAGCCAGCCAGCACTGCCCGTACACACCCATCACACCACCAATTTTCACCACATCACACCCCACCGAACTACATTCCACCCCATGCACCGGGGAGCCTCAGCCCTTCCACTTCGAGCTTCATGGGGGTCTCTTTGAGCCTGTCGGGGTCTGCAGTGCCACCCACATACACGCCCATCACATCACACCCCGTTTCACTTCATCCCGTCCCACCGCAACCAACCGCACCCAGCCCTGCCCCATCAGACCGCACCGCACAGCACCTCACCACAACGCAGCTCATTCCACTCCCCCAGCAGCCTCACCGCCTTGAGCTTATTGATTGTCTCCTTCACCACCAGCTTCACCAGCATGCGGCACTCCTCAGGCAGGTGTTGCCCGAACACCCACATCGATCACTCACACCCCATTCCACCCCATTCCACCGCACTCCACCACACCGCACTGCATCCGAACGCAAGCAAAGAGAGGGCTCTCACCGCCTTGAGCTTATTGAGCGTTTCCTCAAGCTTGTTCTGGTCCACGTTCCCGCCCACATAAGCGCCCTCCTTGGCCACCAGCTTCACCAGCGTGCGGCACTCCTCTGGCAGGCGCTGGCGCTTCTGCGACACGAGGCACTGCCCGTACACGCCAATGACGGCTCCGTTGATTTCTTTGACGGGCGTGGTGGCAGCGGCGGCGCTGCCGGTGTTGCAGAGCTCTTCGACAGCGGTGTCGCAGGGTTGGGTGAGCGCTGCCCCCTTGTGGTACTGGAAGAGTGCCATGCGAACTGCATAGGACACCTGGAGGGGAAGAGTTGGAGAGGGGGCGATTTGGGAGGAAAAATAGGTTCCTGTGCATTCGATTCAACCGACATGCACTGCACTGCACACCGCATAGGACAAAGCTGATCCCACATCATTCCATGCGGAGAGAAACGCACCTCAGACTGGCAAGACGAGGAGGGGCTCTTGAAGATGTCGACCATACACTTGAGCACGAGTGCATGGCCCTCCTGCCCCGCATTCCGTGCGAGAATCCAACAGAAACACAACTTCGCCTTCCCCTTTCCTTTCACCCCCCCTTTTTCTCTCCCCCACCCCCCCAACACACATGATAAAGAGTTAAACGCACCTCAGACTGGCAGGAAGAAGAGAGGCTCTTGAAGCTGCGCACCATGCACTTGAGCACGAGTGCATGGCCCTCCTGCCCCGCGTCCACGCCGTTGCAGAACTTGGTAACATCGTCCTCGCACTCCTTGCGCACGCGCACGTCCAGGCGGTAGTTGGACGCGTGGCGTGCCTCCTGCAGGTTCACCTCGCCCTTGCACGCGGCGCCCATGCCCACGTCCTGCAGGTGCTCCTGCAGACACTTGAACGCCTGCCCCTCCGTGGGGGGCGCATCGCGGCACAGGCTCTGCAGCTCTGCAGGAATTAGGGCAGAAGTGGGGGGGGGCGGAGACAGGAGGGAGCATGAGAAGGGACAAAGAGGGAGGCACCTAGCATTCCTAGCACTCCTCGCACTCCTGGCACCCCTGGCACTGTCCAGGCGGTAGTTGGACGCGTGGCGTGCCTCCTGCAGGTTCACCTCGCCCTTGCACGCGGCGCCCATGCCCACGTCCTGCAGGTGCTCCTGCAGACACTTGAACGCCTGCCCCGGAAGGGGTGGGGGAAGGGATGGGGAGGGCGGCTCCTGCAGACACTTGAACGCCTGCCCCTCCGTGTGGGGCGCATCACGGCACAGGCTCAGCAGCCCTGTGTGTGGAGAGGGCACGGTGTGTGTGTGGGTGGGTAGGGAAGGTGTGTGGGGTGTGTGTGGAGGACAAGGGTAAAGACATTGGAGCGCCGCAGCAGGCTCGGAAGCATTGAGGTAGTTTTTGAGGCGCCTCAAGATTCGCAGCAGGCTCGGAAGCTCTGTGGGTGGAGGGCAATGTGTGAGTGGGAGGGAGAGAGGGGATGGTACTTGCTGTGGATCGGGAGGGAGAGTGTGTGCAGAGGACAAGGGTAAGGACATGCGAGCGCCACAGCACAGGCTGCGCAGTCAAGTGGGTGGGACATGGGCATGCGGTTGAAAAGGTGGAGGGTGGGGATAGAGGGGAGGGGGGAGAGCAAGGGGGACGATGACCCTCTCAGACTGAGCAAGGGGAACATCTCAGACTGTAAGGGGGGTGTCATGACTCCGGCTTTTGAGGCGCCTCAAAAGTGTCATGACTCCGGCTTTTGAGGCGCCTCAAAAGTGTCATGACTCCGGCTTGAGTCGACTCAAAACGGGCTTTGGGGCTGTGTGGATGGAATGGGTGGAGGACTGGGTTAAGTGAAGGTGGAGAAAGAAGGGAAAGCTCGGCATGCACCCTATGCACTTGATGCACTGGCAAGAGATGCGGCTCGGTTTGTGCCAGTGGCTCACCTTGGCCGCATGCAGGGCGGTTTGTGCCAGAGGCTCACCTTGGCCCTATCTGTGCCAGTGGCTCACCTGGGCCCTATCTGTGCCAGTGGCTCACCTTGGCCCTATCTGTGCCAGTGGCTCACCTGGGCCCTATCTGTGCCAGTGGCTCACCTGGGCCCTATCTGTGCCAGTGGCTCACCTGGGCCCTATCTGTGCCAGTGGCTCACCTTGGCCACATGCATTCATGAGGGATGGTGTGAGGCGAATGTCCGATGCCTGAGGGGAGGGGGACAAGAGGGGAGGGGGAAGGAGAGGGGAAGGGGAAATGAGGAGTTACGTCACTCCAGAAGAGCAACAAAGGCCCAGGAATACGAGACACGGGAAAAGACAGCCTGCTTGCGGGACCAGAACTGAATCCGTGTTGAATACAACATATGCACCACCGATAGTTACCACACACCATGCACCGCCCAGGACCCACCTCCATGATGCTGAAGCGCATCTCCTCCTCCCGGCATGACGTAGACAGCTTCTCCCTTGCTGTGTTGAGGCAATCAAATGACCAGGTAGACAGACAACCAAACACACCACATATCCACATATCCACAGCTGCCATACCCACACCTCCACAAGCCCACCTCCATGATGCTGAAGCGCATCTCCTCCTCGCGGCATGACGTCGACAGCTTCTCCCTCTTTGTCCGCAGGCACGACAATGTACGCGCGTGATCCCGGCTCACATCCGGGCACAGCTTCACCAGATCCCCCTGACACGCCTTCTGCAGCGGCACGTCTAGGGAGAGTGGGTCCTTGGCCTCAATGACGCTGAAGGAGTCGACCTCCTGGGCGCAGGAGGGGGATTGCAGCTTGGCCTTGTTGTCCTGCAGGCAGCGCAGCACCATGCCGCCGCACGTGGCGGTGCCGTTGGCTGAGGCGGCGTCGCACGCGTGCAGGCACTGCTGCTGGATGTCCGACAGACACGCCTTGTGCAGGCGGTAGTTCAGCCGGTAGTCTGGGGAAGGGGGGAGTGGGGGGGGGGAGAGAGTGGGGGAGGGAAGAGTGGGGGAGGGAAGAGTGGGGGAGGGAAGAGTGGGGGAGGGAAGAGTGGGGGAGGGAAGAGTGGGGGAGGGAAGAGTGGGGGAGGGAAGAGTGGGGGAGGGAAGAGTGGGGGAGGGGAAAAGAGTGGGGGAGGGAAGAGTGGGGGAGGGAAGAGTGGGGGAGGGAAGACGAGTGGGAGGGAAGAGTGGGGGAGGGAAGAGTGGGGGAGGGAAGAGTGGGGGAGGGAAGAGTGGGGGAGGGAAGAGTGGGGGAGGGAAGAGTGGGGG